TCTATCAGCTGTCGCTCGTTTTAGCGACAGCTACTATATCTTTTTATTTTATCGGGGTGGGAGACTCGCCCCAACAGTGTTAGAAACACGTGTGAGTTTATTCCCTGCCACGCAAAACCCGCAGGCGTATTGCTCCCGTAGTCGTGTCGTTGGAAGTTTTCTCTCGTCTTTTTTTCATTGGAGGTTCGTCTTATCTCCCTCCGCCTAAATCACCGGGTGTTTGATGCTCACGGACGAAGCCTCTCTGTTCCTTGTCCCCCCTATATCCTCTATGTTTTTGTCAATAGTCCTGTCGATTGTTTCGGGTGTACACGTATCGGACCGACTTCGGATTCTTCACTAACACAACCTTGAGGATGGTATATCCCGGGCGGTAGGAAGGTAGCTACTTCAGCTAATTGGTGTACCGGTGGAGACATTCAGGATGGTTACTGTATGCTCTCCTTGTCAATTTACACCAAGTAATGCTGGACGCAGTTCAACCCCACCATGCCACTGCAACGCTCTCGGCTGAATGCGGCAACAAAGAGTATCCCCGCTGACTGACATGGCTCCGGCTATGGGGAACGACCAGTGTTACACCCATACACCAAGACTTGTACTTCGAGAAAGGCTAGTACGCGACATGGGTGCGCAAACACGCCGGCGCTCCTAGTGGCTAGAAGAACGGGAACGCCAACGTCCACATGCACACAAACAGGATGGTAGTCCTGATCCATGAACGGTATAACATGACGAAACGAAAGCCGACGCCACGGACAGACCAACTTTCACCTTCTGCCTCGGAAAATTATTCAAGAGCCACCCCCGCTAGACACTCCAGCCCCCTCCAAAACTGACAGCGAGAAATCCATTGTAACCGGTCGGGAAAGGCAACCGTTGTCGTCCCTTCCGTCCTGCGCAGGCACTTCTGACGTCGTAAAACCACCACCGACAGAGACCATCTCCCTACTACCTGTCGGGGCGTTGCCCTCACCCGCGTTCTCACCACCACGCCCCCCCCGCATCCTCCCTCTGCAGGACCACTCCCCGTCGCATTGGGGCCTGCCCCTTCAACAGATTCCTGCCCGAACCCGCCCACATACGCCGCCAGGTAATCGAGGAGATAAATCTTTTCTTGAGTTCATTGTGCCCTTCTTAGTCCCGGCGTCCTTCACGAGCACGAGAAGTTGTCTTACAGCGCACCTGTCGCTAATCTTCGCCCGGGACATCCCCTTCAACTGATAAAGGGTGGGCGGGGCCTGCCTCCGCGCACGTCCCCCCTTTCGGCGCTTTGCACCTCCCCCCCCGCCCCCTCCACCGCCCCCCCCGGTGTTTGCCATCGGGAGTGGGTTTTCGTCGCTTGGCAACGACGTTGTAAAACAAGCCGCCCCCCCCGGTGTTTGCCATCGGGATTGGGTTTTCGTCACTTNTACCTGTCGGGGCGTTGCCCTCACCCGCGTTCTCACCACCACGCCCCCCCCGCATCCTCCCTCTGCTGGACCACTCCCCGTCGCATTGGGGCCTGCCCCTTCAACAGATTCCTACACTCTTCGCGAAGTCACCCATTCGCACGTTGAGGATTTTCCCGACAACGAAAAGAAATATCTCTTGGGATACACTAGGATCGATGGCAAGAGGACCAGGGGGCAGCAGTTTCCTCACATTTCCTTTAAGACCTCCGCCCCGCTTACAACTTCGAAAATCTCGGCTGGCAAGTCCCCGAGGCAAGCAGCAAGGAAGATGTTTCTTTTCAAAATATGGAATATGCCCCTCTCCACGGCATACATACAAGAACTCTATCCACTCCATCGTAGGGTAAAGAAGTCCCGGACCGTTCTTCATGTCGTTCTTTGAATCGACTTTTGCTACGAAATCTCTCAGCATAGAATCAGTACATATCGCCTCCCCACTGGACCGGCGAGTGTTGTGTTGGACGACACGCACCCAATCCTGGGAAAGGTTGTGTCTTCCTTGATGCGTCCAAGCCTTGCTGGCCGCCGCCCACCCGGCAATGTAGTAGGGGACATGCCCGCGCGGTTTTGTGATCTGATACCTTTCACTCGGGTAAGAGAGCTCCACGGCCACGGAATCCTTGCCCTCTTTCACGCACACCTTGTACAACTCCTGCATGAAGGGGAGGGGATGGGGAACGGTTCGATAACAGGAGCGCGGGCATGGGGAGAGTACCTCAGCTACTTGACCGTGGGATACACATCAACAAGATGAAATCGGATGGTTGATTCTAGACCCGAGTGCCAGGAATTGGTGGTAGCTCCAACACACCTATCCCTACCAGAGATAAACACACGGCGCGCTCTCTCAAACCTACAATCACCGCAGTAACGTGCAGATGCAGGAGGATGGAAGTTTGACTTGTTCACACACGGATGCGGAAATGAAAACGCAAACCCTTCCACAAATGCCCAACTCGCTAACTGACTACCGTATCAACCCACCTCCTCCACACTGCTTGATGATGCAGGATAGGTAGTGCAGCGCCTTCTCTTGCTGGTAGTCTCGCAACCTTGCCTCCAAGACTTCCGGCTGACTTATCCATGCCCGGAGTCTACCCTCCCAGCCAGCAAAGCGGGTCAAGGTGAACGCAGGCGCCGCCTTAGTATCAGCCTGGCGGTGTTCTAAGGCGACGCGGCGACTCCGTCAACGTGGGCGTTCCAAGCGTCGGAAATCAAGCGCGTGGTCGGGGAAAGATCTTTGACCTTCTTCCAAAGAGGGCCGAGCCAGCGTCTACGCCCCTCGACGAAAAGGGGGTCCACCCTCTCCCACACCTTCTTCTTGACGCCGTCTAGGTCTCCGCGAAGACCGCTCGCGATTTGGATCCGCACGTAAATCCTAAGATTTTGTACGGAGCTACCGTCATCCTGCCCAATCGTCATCCAGACGGCCGTGGACAAACACAAAATGCGCGCGTGAACGGCTTGTAACCAATAGGCCCTCGTTGCGATGTTGATCATTCGTTCAACTAAACGACGAAAGCTGATACGACTCTGCGAGTTCACGCCAACTGGATACATTGGCTGATACTTCGGTCGCCCCGGTGGTCTATTGGGTAGCCTCGCAGCCTGCTAAGGGCCAGGTCATGGGTTCGAGTCCCGGCAGAGAGAGTTTTTTTCTCACTAAATAAATCCTGGTCTAGGATGAAAGCGACGCGCTGCAAAGCTCGTTTGTTAGTAAACCATAATCGACTTCGTAAGTCGCGATGGAAGGGATTGCTGTACCCTTCTCGCGATAAAAATACCTCAGGCATGAACCGCAGGAGGGGGTCCAACCCCCCCCTCCTATGTGACCCCGGTTGGGTCGTCTAGCCAGTAGAAGTGGAGGATAGGGGCCAGAGGGGCAGACGACAGAGTCCAATGATGGGAGAGAAACAAAACAAAAAAAACAAACTTCGTACTATGTCTGAATTGCGCTAGCAGACAACGATCTACATGGCGATCTCACCCGAACATCACCATATTCCGCGGCGGCATCATGCATATCGCGGACCATGTCCTTGTCGCGCTCCGCCTCTTCGTCCGAACCCTCCGTGTCGTCGTCATTCTCCTCATCGTCGGAGTCCCCTCGGCGCCCTTGCGCCGAACAGCATTCGAGAGCACCAGGGGGGAACTATATGACGCAGCCGCAGTCTGTTTTCTTTGGAGGCATCCGGAGAGTTCAACTTTGCGGAAATGACGTCGGACTATGAACAGGGACATACATGAAGCGGTCGTCACCGACGGGCCAACACCCAGCAGAACAAAGTATGACAAGATAACACAGAAAATGCACTCTAGTCGTCACTGCTGAGACTCGTTCGACTCTTAAGTAACCCAGGCTTCAGCTTACTTTTGCGCCCTGGATGCATCTCGCGATGTGTTCTGCTGCATCATCGCTGTCCTCTTTCTCCTCGCCGCCCGCCTGTCATCAGTGGGCGAGAATGATGCCCACAGCGTTACGAACGGCGCGATCTGCATGACGATTACTGCTGTCGCGGAGACGACTCAACATATCGATGACCGCAACCATGTAAGTTATGGGCATTGAGACAGGTGGGGGAACTAGGCGCCAAGTCACCGGACCAATTGGGCAATTCAAGAGAACGAGACGGAGAGAAATATATTGCGCAGTGTCATGGACTACAACACGACAATGGACGCCATCAACATTTTACGCGATAAATTCTCACCGTAAACAGCCTCGTAATAATCCTGACGGGTGATGGGGTCCTCGCCGAAAACGGCGCTCCGCATCCATTCCATATCGGCACCTCTGGGAGGGGGAAGGGGGAGGGGAAGAGATAGAGAGGGAAAAAATTATTTAAACTGTTTCGTGGGTCTGCGCTTCTGTACCTTACGGGAGGTAGAACAACTAATTCCATTATTCCTCAAGAGCGGGGCCGCCACCGAACTGGAAACAAGTACGGCATGAATAGCCACAGCCAGGGCCACCACATGCCTCTGGCAGCGGCGACGAATTTGGAGATGTCGGTTTTGCGCTGAATTAGACTCGGTGGTCGCGACACAACAGCATCAAGGTTGGACCCGAGGGCATCCTGGTAGCCATAAGCTTGGTCTGTTCGTCATCAGCGTTCTCTGGCGTTGCGCGCGGTGGTTGGTGGTCTGGATTAACATCCGAGGCGAAAAATACGAGCACGCGTTGTGTGTGTAAAAAAACAAACACAAACGCTGCTGCTGCTGCTGCTGCCTATGGGAGAGCGTCCCTCCCTGGCGGGTGAGATTATGATCCGCATTTTTGGCGAGTAATCTGCGTACACGAGACCATTTTCCAAACGGATTTCTTCTCAAGAGAGCCTGATACATGTACTGACGGCACACGCGACGGCAGGAAGTGCCCCCCCTCCAGCGAGACAGACCCGCCTGCGACGTGCGGGGTAGTCGGATTTCGGCTCGCACCTTCCTCGGGGTCTACCCCGGGGTCTTGCCCTCACGAGGTCATGACACAAGGACTCACCGTGAATAAATCCCGTGTTGTCCTGGCAAATAACCTCCCTTGTGATGGTGTGGTCCTGCCCTGCGAGTNTCAAGAGAGCCTGATACATGTACTGACGGCACACGCGACGGCAGGAAGTGCCCCCCCTCCAGCGAGACAGACCCGCCTGCGACGTGCGGGGTAGTCGGATTTCGGCTCGCACCTTCCTCGGGGTCTACCCCGGGGTCTTGCCCTCACGAGGTCATGACACAAGGACTCACCGTGAATAAATCCCGTGTTGTCCTGGCAAATAACCTCCCTTGTGATGGTGTGGTCCTGCCCTGCGAGTACGACAGCGGGCTCCACCCCGGTTGTCGTATGCGAGCGTGATGAAAGTGGGGCGGAAAAGGGGCCTGAATTGTCCCCGGATTGCTCGATGTACGCCTGCATACTTTGAAAACCACGAGTAAGGTCGCGTAGCTCTGCGTTCCTCTCCTATTCTATTTTTACTATATGGTCTCCTCTTTCAGCATCCAAGTCTTCGTATTTTTTGTCATATACCAAATCCTGCTGTCCTGGTGCGTGCCTCCTGCCTGTAACTACTGCTGCAGCTCATCTCCGGTGACAATCGGCTTGGTCAATACGGAGGCATCACCACAAGACCCTCCTTGCAATCACAAGCTTGGAGCTGTCAAGAGCGTTTGGGCTGGTTTCATCAATGAACTTGGCCATGAGAGGTATGCATATGATGATTTCCACCCTCGTAGCTCATACTCTACAGCAGTTTTTCCGCACCGTAGTTGTCACCTATGCTCCGCTGTGCGCTGTGTGGAACGCGCATGTTAAACCTTAGTCTACCATGCTTGTGTGAGGTGATACTCTACGTGATACACTGCTGTGTGCTGCCTTTGTGACTCTCCTTGGCCTGGGACTTGCTGTACGCTTATGGCCCATTCCTCGTGTCCCCCTATCCCCACCACCATAAGGGTAACCTTGTAAAAGCCTGCTGGACTGCTGTACTGCTGTACTGGAAAAAATTGCGACCTGGCTTCAGCATAGGAACGCGTCCTCAACATCCATCTTGAGACTTGTCCCCAAAATGTATCCCCAAAATGCATTTTGGGACACGTCCCCAAAAACGTCTCGGGGCACTTTCCACTTTCCGAAGCAAAGCCAGCCTTCGTCCCTCGGGCTTGTGCAGCTTCTCCTAGTGAGCGGACGGAGGAGTGGTATTTACCCCGCATCCTGTGTTTTGCCGTTGTAAAACTTGCGAAGGGAACCTTGCTTGTACTTGGCCACAAGGGTCAGGAAAGGGTATGCATATGACATTCGCAGGAAATACCATGAGGATAGCTTCTTCTCCACTGCGTTCTTTGTTCGCATTGCATATTGACCGACATGCGCTGTGAAAGAGGGACTCTGCTGACTCATGGAATACTGCTGTACATCGGGGAGCGCCTCCGAGTTGTTCGAGGTCATTCTGTACATATGCGAAGGCTTAACGATTGTGTGCATTTCCCCCCATACTGCTGTTTTGTGGACCCCTGATCTACGGACTTGCAATCACCGAGGTTTTTGCTGTCAATCTACTGTAGCAGACGCACGATTTTGGGGGTTAACCCTCCTATATAGATACTGCTGCTTTTGTCCACGCTCATTCATGAGGAAAGGTTTCCCCTGTTTTTGTTGGTCCCTCTTCGATGACGAACTAACGCTATTCGCTGTCCTTCAAAAGGTTCCCCTCTCAGCTCCGGAGCCATCCGCCGGCTGGCAAGAGCACCAACGCCATCGCTTCAATCAGCGCGGCAACTATCAACATCTTGCGGCTTGACCCCGACTTCGGCGAGCCGACCCTCCGCCGCGGCCTCGCCGAGACCTTCTCCGTTTCGGCATGGTTCGCGACGCCCCGCCTCGACCACGATCGGTAGCAGCGACAGCACCACCGCAAACAACACGGCTTCGGGACCAGCGGCCAAGAAGGTGTTGTACAGCGGGCACCAGCCCACGTCCCCGCTGCAGCGTACGGCCATGGCCGGCTGGGCGACGGTGACCGCGCTCATGGACCCCGAGCGGGCGGACATGGTGGCGACCCTGGGAGAGGTGACGGGCAGGCTGGCCCTCGAGCAGCTCTACAGGTGTGATGAAAGAAAAGAAGAAAACGTTGAAATTAACATTAATTTGTCCCCATAAGTAGTGTCTCCCGTTGCGGGCTCTCCCCAACTGTATTGTAGCTTGATTCTCTCGCGACAGCGCTCTGAACACGACAAGATGCGACACGTTTCGTCCCTCGGCAGAGCTCCGTCGTCGTCTTTCCTCCCCTCTTGTTCTATAAGCAGATGTCGAGAGTGAAGCAGGTTTTGCATGCAGAGTGAGAGCGGTCGCCGCTGTTGACTGCAGTTATCAGAGCGCCCCCGTCACCCATGATACCCGAGGTTGCTTCTCACAACCGCGGCGGCCAACCTGCCGACCGTCGCAGGTCCATGCTGGCTGACCCAGAAGGGCGGGAGATCCTCCGGGCGAGACCGGTTATCAACGAAGCCACGGTTGACCTGGCCGCGCTTGCGGTGAGTCCCCGGACGCCGACATGGCATGCCCTGTCGCCGAGGGCTCTTGACTTGACGGAGGGCCGCTGAGACAGAGACAGAGACAGATAAAGATAGAGAGTGAGAGTGAGAGAGAGAGAGAGAGAGAGAGAGGTGGCAGGGACGGGCAACTAAGTCCAAGTCCTTCGCGGATATCCATGAGCTTTTCTCTCACGGCTCAACCGTTTTTCTCCCTGGTTCGCCGCGTCTACAGCAGTGTCTTCTCCCTCCTCCCTTCTTGCCTTACACCCGCGCGTGCACCAACGTTTACTCGTTGCTGTTTTGGTTCCACGTCGACAGGCCCTTCCCGATGGCACCTTGGGGAAGAGCTACTCCAACTTCATGAAGGAGAACAACTTTTCTCCCGATGGTCGCAGCCCGGTGAAGTACGTGGACGACCCGGACCTGGCGTACGTGATGCGCAGGTAACAAAGCCCAACAGAGACACGACACTCGTCTGGTGGATGGTAGTTTTCGTCAGCAACAAACACTACCGGAGAGCACGGCAACACTGTGTGCAAATTTGGTGGAAACTGCGTATGTCGTGTTGGCGGGAAGGCTCTCCTTGTGGAACGGGCGGCTCGTACGTTGTGGGTATATTCCAACGTGAGGAAGTTTCGTAGCTCGCAAGGGTGCCAGATGGATTCAATCTTCAACGGGGGTTCAAAAGCTTGCAACGGTAGCGGCGGAGGCGGTGACGGCGCGGAGATGCTCTCTGCCTTTATGCCACGCAGAACTCGATACCGCAGGTCTTCTTTGTTTTTGTTCAGGGATCGACGGCTCGGTGTGGCCACATCGCCACGCTGTGTTCGCCTGAGAATGTACCAACTGCCAGCGCTTTTGAGGCTTGTGTACCAAGGAGGACAACAGATAAACTGAAACATCTGAACACCCGAACTATTGTGTTGCTCCTACCCTCTTCGTTCGTCGTGCTACTGACCCAGGTATGTAGAGCTCGAATGCTGACAGACAACGTACGTAGGTGGAATACAGGCGACGCGTATTTTCCGGAATTCACGCCTGGTCAGCCAGCGGTCAACCAACGGTCTATTGTGTGAAACATAGCCTAACAACTACCCCTGCCCCCGCCCCTCCCGAAACGATTGGTCATCGGTGATCGGTCCTGTGGGGACAATGTTCCGTCCCGCCTCTCTCGTGGACACGTATTTCAATGGTCTTATAACCGCTAAGACATGAGTACCCCCCCCCCCCCCCCCCCCCCCCCCCCCCCCC